GCAAAGGCCCTTAAGAAAGGATGGGAGAAGGCTGACTCAAATTCTGCAAAACACGGCAGACCTTTGCCCAGGCCGCCCTGTTCCTGACTCTGGCTTGGTCCAAACTGAATGTATCAGACACTTCTTTTGAACCATTTCAGATCTTGATTCACTTATCTCTTACTCCAGCCACTACAGCAATTCAACCTGATAGATTCTTGCCTATGCCACATCGGGGGCTGCACTGTGGATGCTCTACTTGGGGACCATGCATGTGCAATTTGGTAGTACATGGACATTAACATCCCACGTGGCGAACCTTTAACCAATGAGTTGGCAGCTAGTGGATAAAGGTTTCTCCTTTTCTCCAGAAAAGCCTACTCACCTATTTAGTCCTAAGAGGCATTTCAAAGAGCTTCCCAGTCAGTTTTAAGGGACTGAGCAGCTAGGTGCCTTAAGCAGTGTCCAATTTAACAATGTGTCCTTATATCAGCTCTCCCTCCTCCTTCCCCCATGGGCCCTTTTAAAGTACTTGCACAGAAGTTTCAGGTTCTGCTTTTTGGAGAACCAAGGCTAAGATAGTGGTCCATGTTCAGATTTTTTTTAAATGGATTGGTTTTAAAGAGGTGAAGGGAATGAGATGGAGAAGCATCAATTCATCATTCCACTTATTTATGCATTCATTGGTTGCTTCTTGTATGTGCCCTGACCAGAGATCGAACCCCAAACCTTGGCATATCAGGACAAAGCTCTAACCAACTGAGTAACCCAGCCAAAGCTCATGTTAAAGTTTCTGGCAAGTGGAACAAACCCAATCCAAATACCTCTATAAAAAGAACCGCTTGCCCGGCCAGTGTGGCTCAGTAGTTGAGCGTACACCTATGAACCAGGAGGTCACGGTTTGATTCCCCATCAGGGCACTTGCCTAGGTGCTAGGCTCCATCACCAGTAGAGGGTGTACAGGAGGCAGCCGATTGATGATTCTCTCATTATTGATGTTTCTCTCTCTCTCCCTCTCTTTTCCTCTCTGAAATGAAGAAAAAAAACTATTTTTAAAAAAGACTAGCTTGCTGTGCCTGGGTTGCCAACACTCAGAGAACACTCCAGGCAAACCCCTGGAGCCTTAAAGTTTATTAACAGTTTTAAGTCTCTAAAGCCTTCACAGAGATAATCCCTACACTTATTCTGTGAAATCATATAACTAAACTCAAGTTCTAAATGAGGAAACTGAGGCTCAAAGAGGTTTATTGACTTATTCATGCAGCTACTACTAACTGCTATGGCTCTGAGATTCAATCATGGTCTTCTGATTCCAAGTCTGAAATCTCTACTGTTTAGGAACTACTGTGCTGGGATCTAAAAGCAACTTGGTGAGCAATTTCCACCTGCTCCCTTTCCTTTTAGTTTGATCCAACTGAGCAGCAGGAAAGAAAAATCTGAAAGGTTTGGAAAAGCCTGAGAAAAGTGCTACCCAGAGTTGCTTCGGGGCTGAGCTGTTGGCACTGCCTCAGAAAGACTGCAGGTGTGGAGCCACGGGGCTGCAGCCCCGACAGACAAGTATGTACATGATTAAGCTACATATCTGCACTTGGGCCCCTTGGAGCTCCAACTCCTGCCCTGGTCAGCTGCAGGTGCCTTGAGTAGGGACTATCCTTCCCTCCTTATTCTTTTTTTTCTTTCTTTCTTTTTTCCCCTCCCTATTCTTAATGGCCAAGAAGGGGAACCTTCCTTCCGGCAGCTAGGGGCCCTGAGGGAATCTGAGGCTGGGCAAAGGGCCCAGAGTGTCAGTTCCCATCACAGCCACACAGTCCAGCATGAGTCACCACACACGCAGCCAGGTGAGTCATACAGGCTGACGGACACTCTGAGGACAGGACATAGGGTGGTTGGGCACAGGAGGCTGGAAAGGGGCCGGAGGGCGAAAGAATCCACCTTTTGGACAGTCCCCCAATGAGGTGTCTAGTGCTGATGTGAAGCTATTCTAGTAACAGGATCGCTGTTCCATCCTGGTTTTCAGTTTACTCCCCCACCTTTCAAGTCTTCCTCAGAAGCCCTTGTCCTCATTAGAATCCTGTTCCCTTCCTCTAAACATGGTAACCCGCCCCCCCCCCCCCCCCCAACACCGGCTTAAACTCTTCACTCATGTACAGTCCCATAGTCACACTCCTTATGATTCTTCCCCCTAAAATAACTTATCTCCGTGCCTCCCTTACATGAGCTAATCGACAAAACGAAAATGATAACAGTAACAAATGCAGGTAAGTCACTGGGTTATCTTTGTGAAGTTGCTACTTAATCACTGGATTTGGAGTAAAAATAAATCCTTGGTTAGTATATTGTTTGGGGATTCGTACATAGGTAGTAAAACCATGAGAAAAGCAAAGAATGATATAAACAGAACTCAGGGCAGTGGTTGTCACTTGGGAGTCTGAACGAGGGACAGGTGCACAGGGGTCTCACAGCTGGGTGCTCATGGAGTGTCCAGTTTTGACACTGAAAGTGTACTTACATGTCTTAATCGTTCTTTTGTGTGTTAAGATGTATTTCACAATAAAAAATACTAAGGAAAACAACACTTATTACCTCTGTAACCTAATGGGGATCGAGTAGTCCTAGCTCATCACAGAGCTTTGTGGGGACAATGTGTGTGACCGTGACTTGCACAAAATGTCAGAGGACCGTGTGTTGCGATTAGTTTTCTAAGGTAAGGCCTCCTGGGCCAATGCCTTTATCGTGACGGATGACTCCTCGGCTCCTACCTGACGGCTAGACCAACTATGCATATCCCTTCCCTAAGGGGACCCACCCTCCCAACCAGACAGGAGACAGCCAACTCTGCAAGGGGGCTGAATAGGAGGGACAAGTGAAGGGGGGCGGGCAAGCGGCTGCCTTCCAATCAGCCGCCTCTGGCCCCGCTCGGGTCCAGGGCGCACTCACCGGCCGTCAGGACCTGAACTTTCCACGGGTGGGCGTTCAGGGCCCGCTGGTATGCCCGCCAGAGCGCCATGCTTCCTGCCGAGCCAAGAGGAGGGGTTCAGCCCACGGCCCGCCCACAAGTAGAGAGACGCTGGGCTTTCCCTGGGGCCCATCCCTCTCCCCCTCCCGCTCCCATGGCCCACCCTCGAGGGGCTCGGGAGGATGCCCCCTGGACAGCTTCCGGTCAGAGGGTAAACAGGAAGGCCGCGGGGGACTGTGAAATGCTGGCGGCAGCCTCCCGCCACCGCACCCCAGCCCGGGAGCAGGGCCACCGGGGGCCTCCGCCCCACGAGGCGCTGCTGAGGACGGGCTCGCTCCGGCTTTCCGCAGAGCCTGGCCGGTCCCCAGGTTCGGACTCTCAGTCGGAACCAGCCCGCATCCTTCCTGAGTCCAACTCCATGCGGGACACAGGGCCGGTCCCTCCCGGGCCTGGAATGACCACGTGCGCCGTGGGCGTTCGCGGCGCGCTGCGGTTTGAGCCGCTCCCGGCGGACCCCGGACGACTCACCTGCGCGCAAGCTCAGCCCCTCCACGTGACCTGGCGGGAGGCGGGACTTCCGCCGCGAGCCCCGCCCCTTCCGCCTGGCTGGGCGGAGGCTTTCCCCCGCGGCGGGCGCAGGGACGGGGCGGACTGCTTCGTCACTGCTGCTCGTGGACAGCGGTCAGCTCGGCCGGAGCGACGGGTTTTCCCAGTTGACTAAGCCCCAAGCCGGCCTGGGCGTGGCCCCGCCGGTCACGCTTCCCACCTCGGTCCGACCTGGTCTCCTCCTGCCCTCCCCGCCCCCGCCCTGGAACTGGCCAGGGTCCTGACTTCTGTCTCCGTCTGTTTGGAAACTACAAGCCAGTTAATTTAAGCGTGTGTGTCATTTGTCTCAAGGTTCTTCTTTAGCCGCAATTGTGAGCTCCTGAGTGGGTGGGACTGGGTATGTTCATAGCTGCCTTCCTCATAGCAACTACTGCAATGCTTTGTCCACAACAGCCTTTAGGAATGCTGCATAAAGATGACTCCTGCATTGGGATTGGAGCCTTACGAAGTTTAGGTACTGGTTTCTTTTTAAAAAAATGTTTTAATTTTTTTGAGAGAGGGAGAAACATCGATGAGAGAGAAACATCCATCAGCTGCCTCCTGCACGTCCCCTGCTGGGATCGACCGGCAACCCAGTCATGTGCTCTGACTGGGAATCAACCGGCAACCTTTCGGTGCCCGGGAGGACGCCCAACCCATTGAGCCACACCGGCTGGGCTAGGTACTGGTCTCTGAACTAGTGGCGGGGCAGCCCTGGTTATCACTAGACTTGAACTTAAGGCTCCTTATCTGTGAAATAAGGGGGTTGGACTTTAACAAACTGGGCTCCAGTTTTACGGGTTTATGTTTGTGAGGATGGCTATCCCTACAGATTCTTCTTTATCTCAGCTTGTTACAAATATATATATACTTATAGAAAGAGCCACTTTTAAACAAAAGGGCCCACAACTAAAAGTGTTGGGGATTAGGTGATTTCCTAATTACCCTTTACCGCTCTAACATTCTAAAATTTTGTGAATATAGTGAAACATCCTCCTTAGGGAGGTAGAAACTCTTCCAAGATCCTTGGCAGTGGATTTGTTAGCCTTTGCTAACTATATCCACGAAGTCCACACTTCAGGAGGCAGCCATGTCTGATTGTTTTTCAGGCTCTCTACCTGGCTAACTGCAGCCCCAATATACTCAATTCCTATATGATTAAGACAGGGAGAATCCTGTCACAGATACTGGAATAAGGAAGCAAGAGAATTCAATGTCGCAAACCTTTAACTAAAACCTTTTACAAGCAAAACACCATAATAGAGTGGATTTACACTAGTAAATAGACCAAATGTGGCAGGTTGGGAAGTTGTATTCTGATGTCAGACTGTCCAGGTTAAAATCCCAGTACCATCGCTTAGTTCTATGACCTTATTCAGACTGGTTAACTGCTCAGAATCTTACCTTTATCAAGTAAAATAGAGTAAAACCTGCATCATATGATTAACTGACATATGCAAAGTATCCAAAATAGACCAAGTGCTTAATAAACACTTGTTTATCCTCCTCCTTTTCTTCCCTCTTGGGGACACACGGAATAATTTTTACTGGAGAAATCTGGGAAGCCCCTTAGTGAAGGTAGAATTTGAGCTGGGATCTTGAAGAGTGCTTAGGTGGAGAGGCTAGAAAAGGACACTCCCAGAGGAGGGACTAGTGTGAGAACAGCCACAAGGAGAAGTGCAGAAACCTATGAATAATATAAAGTGGATATATTGGGAGGGAAGGTTAGAAAGGGAGTGGCGTGGAGAGAAAGGGGTTTATGTTAGAGAAAGCAAGGCTGAAAACGTCTTTCTGATTTTCTTCTGGAGGTCAAGACGGGCTGACACTCAGCAGCAGGGTTGCCAGCACCCACCTACAGCCTCAATAGCATGGGTCCCCAGGTCCCATCCTTTTTGCCACTGAAAGGGGGATTTCAATAATGCAGTGTCCAGGGACTGCTGTGTAAGATGTGGGAATTTCTCTGCAGTGAAAGGCAATTCCTTTTCAATCAGCTCAAAAAGAGAACTGGCACAACCTGAGCTGGATCACAATAGGATGGTGCAATACTTGGCTCTTTTGCACTGACGTGGGCTGTGGTTCCTCTGCTACTAATGGTCTGGGTTGCCTCCAGGTCTGTTTCCTCTTCTGTACAGGAAGGAAATTGAAGCACTTGATTCCTTTCTTAAAGGTTTTCTGACATTTGATAAATTCCTTACACTTAAGAGGCAGAAAGCTATTCCCAGATATCTGGCCAATCAGTCTAGAGTGCCAGAGGGCTTTGTTCCAGGTAGGCACTAAACTTATTTCTACTCCCTTCAAATAGCAGCTGGCTGTGTATTTTTCTCTAGAATAGTTGAAGTCATCTACTTACCCCAAACCTCAGATTGTACTCTTATACATTCCAAAACTATGATTTGCCTCTTTCTCATTGCTGGGTATGTCCTAGCTTAGGAAGCAGTATTGCAGTCATGAGCCTGCAGCACCCCACAAAAGGGTGTTAACAAGATGAGCTGTAACAATACAGCAGGTCCTCAAATAACATCATTTCATTATAATGAGATGCCATAGGAACTTAAATCTTGTTTATATCAATTCACCTATAATAAAGTTGGTTTCCTTATATGTTGTTTAAAGTCACAGAACCTTGCCCTGGTTGGGTAGCTCCGTTGGTTAGAGCATCGTCCCAATACACCAAGATTGCGGGTTTGATCTCCAATCAGGGCACATAAAAGAAGCAACCAATGAGTGAATGAATGAATGGAACAAAACAAAAAAAATCGATTCTCTCTTTCTCTCTCCCTCCCTATCTCTAAAAATCAAGACATTAAAAAAAAAATGTCACACAAGCTATTGATAATAAGTGTGGACTTACTGTATTTGGGTTCTAAACATCTATATATAGGGTTGAAATAAAGTAGTTAAACATGTTTAATGTGACAGTATCATGAAGGGTCAAAAATCATAACGTGTAAAAGAATGGTTAAGGTAACTGAGATATTTAATCTAGAGAAGGAAAGACTTGGGAAACATCTGATAGCTATTTTAAACACTTAAAAGGGCAATCACAGGTGGGAATTGCTAGAATTCCTAATACCAATGGTAAAATCTATAGAGGTATACTCTGACTGGATATAAAGGAAGATGTTTTAAAACATGACTGTCTAGGAGTGTTCAAGTAGGGTCAGATGACCAGTGATCAGGTATATTTCCTAAGCAGGAGCAAGTAAGATCTGAACCACCATCCTCTTGGTGGTGTGTGGTGTTCCTCAGTTAAAGAACCACTATAAGCAGCTTCAGTCCAACAACTTGCTACCCCCGCCCCCATGGGCTTGCATGTTGGTTACTCTAAACAGGAAGCTGGCAGGGCAGTAATACTGGATCCTGGGATATAGTCAGACAGAAGCCTTCCTGCAGATACTCTTTCCAGTTTTCCAAACACCCACTCACATGTGGTCTCAAAAACACCCAGTACCTTTACTTAGCTTTACCCACTTCACAATATGCTCAATATGAGCAATTTGACTCCCAAGCCTAGATCAGGCCTGAGTGTTTCTTGTGAGCCAGTTTTAGGCTAAGGAGCCTTGAGAGTTTGTGGAGGGCAAGCCTCCCTGCCCACAGGGGCCATGATGATAGCTGAAGTCAATGAAAGGAGAGGTATCTAAGGAATCCTGGGAGGCAGGTCTAAAGGTCCAGGCCTGGCAGCATCACTGTCCAAGAAGGCCCAGTTTCTATGGTCTATGCCTGGGGCCATTTGTTCTTGGCAGACTTCATTCAAGGGTCTTGTGTGGACCACGACTAGGGATGGGGCAGAAGGCGATGGCTGGTTGAAGAGAAGCCAGGCCCTTTAGTAGGGGAGGACGATTGGAACACAGCATTGAAGTGGGCTCGGCTTTCAAGCTGCATACGGTGGCCCAATGGGGAGGTGAGTCCACGCACAAAATGGATCCGAACCAGCCCTGACTGCCCCCCAGATACGAGCCATCCATAGGAGTCCAGGTTTGGGCTGAAACGTACCTGTGAAGAGAATAGAAAACAAAAGAGAGATGCTCATAGTTGGTGTTTTAGGGTGAGTCTCAGCTGTGAGAGCAAAAAACCTGGCCACAATCTAACAGGATAGGACCATGAGGGGGTGAGAAGACAGTGAACAAAGTAAGTTCTTGAAGATGAGTTTTCCAGAGCTATTTCCCTCCTAAGCCCTCTTGGTTGCTTTTCATCTCCCATTTCACTGATCACAGGTCCAGAGTTGGGAGAAAATGAGAGCGACGGGTGGAGAAGATAAGAGGCAAGGTTCTTACTTTATGAATAGCCTCCAGCTGCAGCCTGTCCAGACAGAGCTGAGCCTGCCCCTCTCCCTCCTGCATCCGCAGCACTGGTTCTCTACGGAGCAGATCATGGAACGAACCCTGGGGAGGGGAAGTGTAATGAGAGACAATGAGCAGCTTCTTAGGTTTGCATCTTTGAGCTGGAACTCTTTAGGTTTTCCTATTATATAAGGACTAAAGTTTTCTACTTTTCCTAGTGCCACACCCATTCTCCTGGGCCAATTTACCAAATCTGTGTCTTGAAAGAGCAAGTAATGATGGTTGACGGTTTCAGCATAAGTTCGAGCCTTGGGTGGGTTGAGGGCTCCAGATGCAGCAGAAGAGTGGTCTTGACCTTCAGGACTATCCTGATACGGCATCAGATCTGCTTTATATATAGGCTAGAAAGGAGACCATAAGATTAGGTCTCATGAGACTGAAGACAAAATGAAAGTAAAAGAGAGAAAATTGATTTGGGGCAGGAGAGACTTAAAGATGGAGAAAGTAGTATGTTTAAACAGATTTTCAGATGAACTAGGGTAGGCAATATTATGTGTAACAAGATTTCCGGGGATAATACCTGTGCAACCTGGTATTAATTTGAGCTAATCTGTAGTACTAATTTGGGAGGGCATGTGGATTAGGAACTAATAAATGGTGCTGCCATTAAATACTCATATACGTACAAATCTTCGCTCTACAGGTCGCTTGACAGTTATTGGGTTCAGTGCCATATCAGGCAAAATAGCTGCAATGAGCTCCCCGGATGTATCTCCTGCAGCTATTGTCCCAAGCCAGTCGGATCCTGAAAGACTCTAATAAGAAGAGGCAGATTCCTTCAGTTCTGTGAACGGGTATAACTGCAGTCTCAGGGGGGAGAAACACACACACAAGTGAGTTTATCATAACCCATATCCCTGATGATACAGTTCCCACACACCTATCTTCTTCCGTAAAAAACTACTACCTCTTCCCGACCACCACTGGATGAGTAAATGAATCATTTTCCTGTATAATGAAGATTTCAAAGAGAGGGGCTCACCCAGACAGTGCCTTTTCGAGGAGCAGTGAAGTAGGCCTTGAAACCAAGGTAACCAGCATCAATATAATGAATTCCACAGAGTCCATAACTATAAGAGAAAGAGAAAATGAAACCTTCCTTTTTCTAAGATTAGATCCATTTCTTCTCCCCATGTCCTTCCAGAATTCAAACTACCTCACTGAAACAATTCTCAACCCTCCTCTCCCACACAACAATCTGGAACACTCTGGCACCCCAACCCCTAGGGTCTGTCCCCTGAGCTTCTCCTATCTCCATCCTGCCATACGAGGCATAGCAGTTGTCCTGCGCCACAGTGACACCATTGTAGGGGAGCAGCCAGGCCAGCTCTGTACTCAAGAAGCGCTTGATAGCATTTATTGGTTCATAAGGTCGTCGAAGGTCCCAGAATTTGATTTTCCGGTCGCTCCCTGCAGACACTATGAAATGACTGTGGAAAGATGAAAGATGAGGGAGAAGTTAAAATCTGAACCAGTCTGGAAGAGTCAGCTTAACCCAGCTTCCCCTCCCATCTCCACAACTCTCCTATTCCAACCTGTTGGCTTTGCACCACTGAAGGGTACGCACAGCCTGGTCATGGGCTAGGAAACCCTGGAAGGGGTAGAGCTTCAAAGAGCCATCAGAGAGCCGAATCCGCTGCAGGGGCGAGTTAGTGGGAAGGTTCCAGAAAACCACCATGCCTGAGGTAGGGACAGAACATGTAGGTATTAAGGCAGGTTCTCTCTTCCTTGCTCTAATTACTTTATCTTCTACCCTCATATCTGATCCTCTATGAAATGACATAGGGATAATGATTAGTTAGTCCATTCCCTCCATAGTTTAAAGACTCAACCTGATACTTCAGTTCCAATTCTAAGCAACAAAAAAGTAATATCGTAGTCTGGGACCTGTAGTTAAAAGATTGGTTGAATGCACTCAGTAGCCTCTACTTCCTACTAAATATAAGTAAAAGGATTTTGAAAGAACATAAACTTTCTAAGAGAGGGCTGGCAACCTATAGCCTATGGGCCAAATATAACCTGCCACCTGATTTGGTAAATAAAGTTTGACTGGAACACAGCCCACTCATTCATTTACCTAATGTCTATGGCTGCTCTCGCTTTACAATGGTGGAGTTGAATAGTTCCAACAATGGCCAAATAGCCCATAGAGCATAAAATATTCACTATCAGGACCTTTACAGAAATGTTTGTCAACTCTGCTCTAAGACAAAGAGAATAGGCAAGGAGCCAAAAGCCACAGAATGTAGAGAACAGAAAACAAATGGACCAACAAAAACTAACTTGGCTGACCCAAAACAAGTTGACCCCGACCAGGCTGGCAGAGCAGGGGATAATAAAAAATGTAACTTTGATTAAAATAAAAGATAAACTGCGTTGGCCAATGTGGCTTAGTTGGTTGAGCATCGTCCTGTGCACTGAAAGGTTGCTGGTTCGATTCCCAGTTGGGGCACATGCCCGGGTTATGGGTTCATCCTGGTACAGGAAACAACCAATCGATGTTTCTCTCTCACATTGATGTTTCTCTCTGTCTTCCTCTCCCTCTAATATCAGCAAAAACATATTTAAAAAAACCCACAAACTAATGAACTGTAGAATTTTAATAAATAAAAATTTGGAAAAATATATGTAGCTAAAACCTCCTCTATACATAAACTCAGGAAATGTAACACCTATGAACCTTTCTTGAAGAAAACGTATTGACAGTGAATTACAGCTAAGCAACATTAATAATTCAGCAATGGAGGGAGAGACAGATGAAAGGAGTGGTAGAGACTTGCAATCATTTCAATATAAAATTACAATTAAGTAACTTCAGGAATTAAGGCAGCAAAGCAGCATCAAGTTTCATGTACCTTGACAATGTAAGACTATCACCAAAAGAAACACAATTAGAAGATGGTGGAAGAGACAAGGAGAAGAAACATAACAGTGCAATTTCCTTACCTCCCCAGCAGAAAGGCTACTGATAGTGTCTAAAAATAAACTTGTCATTTAAAAACGACAACCTAATACCTCCAACTACTTAACGTTATTTATAATTTTTATTTTTCCCTTTTAATCTTAAAAGTATCTTTAAGGAACTAATATCTCTGTGGTAAAGGAACATTTATTGGGAGTTTAGCTAATCTTTCAGCTTCACTTTTCTACTATAAAATTAAAGTATAATTACATTTAATACCTTTTCATTTAAAATTGCTATAGTGTACGATCCCATTTCTTTTTAGCTTTACATATGCACAGAGAACTATATGAAATTATGTTTGTCTACTCAATTATTTTTCTGAGTAGAAACATTCCAATAACTTTTCTCTTTCTTCTTTGTATTTTTTTTACATTGCCTGAATATTTATAACTATGTAATGCCCAACACTCAACCAAAAAGGAAGCAACAACCCAAAGCAAGCCTAAAGAGCAATAGCTCCGTAGGTTTGGTTTTGTTTTTTACCGTTGTAGTATCCAGCAGCCAGGTGGTGGTGGGGCCGGGTGGGCATCCAGGCCAGGCTAAGGCACTGACCACACTCAGAGGGGTCTGATACCTGCACAGACCCCACCTGAAGGGTTGCCACACATTGAACCTGCAGGGACAGAAGGGATGGGACCAGGGTTAGGAATACCTATTGTTTGGAACGAAGACACAAATTAGTGTTCAATCCAACAGGAGAGGAAGGTCCCTCAGAGTTAGAAAGCGACTCACTATGGAATCAGTAAGGGAGGCTCTACAAGATGGAGCCTTGGGTAAGGCAGCAGGTTCCTCACTCACCTTATAGATGGCGGGTTTCATTGCATCTGTGAGGAAAAAAGAGCAGAACTGATACTCTGGATCTAGAAGACCGAGGTCCTAATAGGCCTTGCTCTTAGATCAGCACCCACCCTTTCAATAGTGACGTTCCCTTACACTCTTATCTTTCCACCATCAAATGTACGAGCCCACCTTTCTCTGCCCCATCTTCTGCTTTCCTCCAATTATACCTGATAGTATCCTTTCCATCAGAATGGCTAATCCCTCCACTCTGCTCTCTTCTCACCATTTCCCAAAGAACTTTGCTCTCTGGTTACCCATCCTATCACCTGCATTATTCACTTTCTCTCCTCCCACTGGGTCATTCTCATGTTCACACTATTGTCTCCTATCTAAACCAACCAAACACTACCCTGTTACGTGTTCCCCTTCACAGCCAAACTTCCTGAAAGAATTGTTTATCCATTTTGTCTTCACTTCTTCACCTCCCAGTCCCTCCTCAAGCCACTCCTCCACCTGCTCGCCAACTGTGGGCCTTCTCAGGGTTCAAACCGCGGTGCCCTCTTCTTTACTCAGTACAGTTAAAAAACAAATAAATTCAACCAATAGGAGCTGCCTCTACCTGACCCTCCTCTTCTTGCTCATATTCAGCTCTATATTCTCTCCCTGTTTACAACAGAGTGTGTTTCTATGTATGGGTGGTGTTGAGGACAGGAGAGGCTGAAGACAACGTTAGGAGAACAAGAGTATGGCAGGAGAGACTGGCCCCACTTGTCAGCCTCAGCCTTTAGCAGTCCTTACACAGCCAACTAACTGTGGCCGCAGAGGAAGAGGCTTGAGAGCAGGGAGAACAGGGAAGAGAGGGAGACAAAAGTAATGTGATGAAAAAGGGCAGTTATAAGTCTGCAAAGGAGTACTGCTTGTGGGCTGCTGGAGAGAGAGGTCAAGTACAGAGCGTGTGAAGTCAGAATGGAAGGTGTGACTGTGCAAGGCTTTGTACTATAGAGACTGGGCCAGAAGAGTTTCAGGGGAGATGGACAGGCCCTACAATGTTCTGGCCATGGCTACAGCAGCCTCATTCTCCTTGCTGGGCTACTCACCTGGGGGCTGCTGTGCCAGCAGGGCCTCAGGATGGGGTAGACTGAACAGCAGCACCTTCCCATCTGAGCAAGCAAGAGCCAAGAGACCCAGCCGAGGCAGGAGAGGAGCCTAGAGGGTGAGACCAGATCTGTGCTGAGGCTTGCTGCCTTCAGGAGCCTCTCAGAAAACTTCTGAGGTTCTAGTCTCTGAAAATATGATATGAGGTTGCTAGAAAAAAATGCCATCCACCCCTCTCCAAACTCCGTTCCTCCTACTCTGGGAACACCCAGAGCCTTTGTCCTGGCGCTAGTCCAAGGGCCATCACATAATCAACTGGGAGGTACCTTCCGAGGGGTGCCTGGAAGTTCCCATGCTCCACTGGGGCAGAACTTGAGGTCCCAGATGCAGCCGTGGTCACAAGCAATCCCATAGACGAAGTGAGCCCTGTTGCCAGGACTGAGGAGAGAAACCATATGGGGAGAATGGGTAGGAAGAAGGGGGGCCTCGGGCTGCTCGAGCCTGTGTACTCCCCCAATTTAAACCAATCCAAGTCTCCCCCACAACCCAAACCCGGTCCTGCCCACCCTTCTCTCCTCCTCAGGCACCCTCCACGGCAGTGTCCCAGCCCCACCTCACCAGCTTTCTTGCTGCAAGGTCCCAAGGCCCCAGAGCTGGAGTAGCCCAGGACCTGAATGAAGTTGGCTCAGTGAATGTGTCTCATTCATGTCTGGGCTGGAGAAAAGGGCCACATACTGCGAGGCTGCTGCCCCCTCTGGCACTGGGCACCAGTCCAGAGCCCAGAGCGGTCCCCCTGTGAAGAAGGACACATCCCAGCGCTCTGGGTGTGCTGTGATCGAGCTAAATCTAGAGAAAAGTCAAAGATAGAATGAAAAAGGGAGTTAATAAAAGGTAATGAGAAATTCATAGGTGAATGGATAAATAAGCAGTGATACATCCAGACAAATGAAGTATTTGTCCAAACCCACAGAATGTACACACCAAGAGTGAACCCTAATGTGAACTATGGACTTTGCGTGATTATGCTATACCAATGGAGGTCATCGATTCTGGTGGTGAATGTTGATAGTGGGAGAGGTTATGCATGCGTGGAGGCAGGAGGTATATCAGAAATCTCTATCTCTTCCTCTCAATTTTCCTGTGAAGTTAAATTGCTCTAAAAAATTTAGTTAAGAAAAAGGTAATGAGGACAGAATGGGAACTCCCCTGGGAGTTAGTATGAACTGGCTTCAGCAAGGGCCAGAATATCAAGAACAGTCTACAGGTGAGAACAGTCCTAGCTCGCATTTGTATCTTCCTCCTTTCCCTCCCAGTCATTCTGTTCTAGTTCACCTTCAAAGATGTCAGGCTGTGCATCCTGGTTACTACAATGTTCTCTCCAGGGCCAGTCTGTCAGGGACTATCTGAGTATAGATGAGCTTGTAAACAGGTTTGACCTCAACCTCCATAGTGTCCCTCCGTCTGGCCAGTAGCAACGAGCACTGCAAACTAGAGGGGACTGACCAGATCTACCCAGGACTCTGACCCTTGGGATCAACGGGACCAGCATCAGGGGAAGAACAGGGCCAATCTGCCTTCCCTTTCAACATTTATTTTTCCTACTTCTGTCTCCTAGTGTTAGAAAAAGAGATGCAATCTTCACCTGTTTATGCGGTAGAGTGTGCCATCTTCAGGAAGTCCTTCACGTTGTACAGAAAACAGTGGAGACTTCTCCTCCTGGGGCAGGTAGGGAGCTGCCTCACTAGGGAAGGCAAAGGGAACAACAGCCTGAGTTGGGACGTTTCTCCTTTTCCAGGATTCCCATCATAAATCTAGATCCTCTGTCACCCTTCGGTCTCCAGTGGCATCACCACCCCGCCAAGGCTTCAACGATGTCTCTTCAACTTACAGTTCAGATAACAAGTGCCACTTCCAGGCTAAAGGAATCCATTCTGCAAACTCCCAGTATGAATGCTTCTGTTCTCGGCTAGAGGGACAGAGAAGCCTTAACGAAGGAAGAGATCAATTCTAAGCAGTTCTGCCCCATAAAACTTTCCGTGATAATGGCCCTGGCCAGCGTGGCTCAGTGGCTGAGTGTCAACCTATGAACCAGAAGGTCACAGTTCGATTCCTTGTCAGGGCACATGACCCCTAGTGTGGGGTGTGCAAGAGGCAGCCAATCAATGAATCTCTCTCATCACTGATGTCTCTCTCTCTCTCCCCCTTCCTCTTTGAAATAAATAAAAAGATATTAAAAAAAAAAAAAAAAAGGTTACCAGTTCGATTCCTGCTCAGGGCACATGCCCCAGTTGCAGGTTTGATCCATGGTAGAGGGTGTACAGGAGGCAGCCGATTGATGTTTTGCTCTCATATCAGTTTTTTTCTCTCTCCCTTCCTTTCTCTCTAAAAGATAAAATTAAAATAATCAATTAAAAGAAAAACTTTGTGCCCTAACTGGTTTGGCTCAGTGGATAGAGCGTCGGCCTGCAGACTGAAGGGTCCCAGGTTCAATTCCGGTCAAGGGCATGTACCTTGGTTGCGGGCATATCCCCAGTAGGGGGTGTGCAAGAGGCAGCTGATCGATGTTTCTCTCTCATTGATGTTTCTAACTCTCTATCCCTCTCCCTTCCTCTCTGTAAAAAAAATCAATAAAATATATTTTAAAAAAAGAAAAGAAAAACTTTGTGATGATGTGAGTGACCTATTATCTGTCCAATATATGCGCTGGTAGCTGGGCACTTGAAATGGGGCTATTGCAAAGGAGAAACTGGACTTTTAATTTTAAATGGCTACATGCAGCTACTGCCTACCATAACAGACAGCACAGCTCTGAAGCTTCTGCCTTTGGAGCAGTGTTGTTTATTTATGAATGTCTTCAGTGTTCTACCCTGTGAGTGCCCGCCCTCTTTCTCACAGCCCCACTTCTAGATCATTCTGTGCACTCCACCACCACCCTTCATCCCCAGGCCCCATTCCCCAAGTCTCACAGGTCCTTGGTGAGATGGAGGCACTTCCAGACAGGAGCCATGATGTGATTGGATAAGCCATTGGGAGCCATGCCCCGGCAGTGCAGCTTCTGCTTCTGGGATTAAATGAAGAAAGTGTCAAGGAGAGAATTTTATAGCCAGAGAAAGTTCCCAGGACACAGCTTTCTCAGCTTTTACTTTTCTTGGCACAACTTCCCCTCTAACCTTTGCCATATCAGAATCTCAAAAGGTTTATGTTATAATCATTACAATGACTTCTCCACCTTTTGCTCCTACTCCATCAAAACTGCAAAATCTGCCCGGCTGGTGTGGCTCAGTGGTTGAGCATCGACTTATGAACCAGGAAGTCACGGTTCGATTCATGTTCAGGGCACATGCGTGGGTTGCAGGCTCCATCCCTAGTGTGGGGTGTGCAGGAAGTAGCTGATTGATGATTCTCTCTCATCATTGATGTTTCTCTCTCTCTCTCCCTTTCTCTCTGAAATAAGTAAAAAAATATATATTTTAAAACTGCAAAACTGTTATATGTTTTTTGAACATTTTCCTTGACGTCTCCACACATTGAATTTAGAGGATTTCCATTTACTTCTTAAAACTCTTGCCCTATGGAGTAGTCTTTCCTTATTCCTCCCATCTTTCTAATATTCCTTTGCTGGTTCTCCCTCCTCTGATAGATTTGGTCTCAGAGACGTTCTGACTTCTTTTCCACCCTCTATACATGCACTCTTGGTCATTTCACCCCATGTCCCAGCATTATACCTGGTTATAAAGTTTGACTACCATCATCACCCATTTATCAAGTTTACATTTTAAACTTGTAAACTCAAACTTCACTAGTTTTCAACTTTTCTACAAACTCTAGATCCATACGGTGGTGCCAAGCAATATTAGAGCCTGAGTCAAAAGGAAAATCAGTAATACAGTCCCTCTCTTTATTTAAAATTTGGTATTTTGGTCATTATAAATTGAAATTAATTTTGATTTTTAAAAATGTATCACAATATTTATCCTGATTTCTAAGAATTTGGTGCTCCCTTAAATGGTGCACTTAAGACAAGGAAGGCACTGGTCCCATATACAATTATGACTGGTGACCAGAGGTCCCCAGGATGGTCCACGGTCCATATGTAAGTGAGCTCATCACCTGCCCATCTTTGCCTCTCCTGCGTACCCCACTCTTTCTATGTGGGATGATGAAAACATCTTGGAAATGGATAGTGTTAGTAGTTGCCCAACATTGCGAATGCACTAAATGCCAGTGAACTATACATTTTTAAATGGTAAGTTTTCAGTTATGTAGATTTTACCACAATTAAGCACACACCTTTAATGGCTCCTACCGTCACTCCTTTTATCTTCTCTAGTTTAATCCCCACTTCACCCAAAGCCTTATGCTATAGCCATAATCGATTTCTGGGAAAACCAATCTCTCTGGCAAACTTCCATCGACCTTTTAAGACCTAGCTAAACTATCGTTCCTTTGTGAAGTCTGAGCAGTTGACTTCCCCCACCCCCCATATGGCCAACGCATTTTGATCACTCCTGGTCTAGCACTTATCACACTGAACTTCGTGAGGCAGGACTCTGCCTTATTCACATGTGTGTTTCCTAGCTCCCAGTAGATGCTCAATATGTTTTGGGGTTTTTTTTTAATATTCACTGGAGAGGATTCTTTTTCCACTGATTTTTAGAGAGAGTGGGAGGGGGAGAGACATAGAGAGAGAAACATCAATGTGATAGAGACACATCGATTGGTTGCCTCCCGCACATGCCCCAACCAGGTGGAGATCAAGCCTGCAACTGAGATACAATGCCCTTGACTGGAATTGAGCCTGAGACCCTTCAGTCCGTGGGTCGACGCTCTAACCAGTGAGCCAAACCGGCTAGAACAGATGCTCAATCGATGAATGAATAATCTTGTTTACTTACACCCTTAGCCCCTGCAATCTCAACTGTATTTGAAGTTGTTTCTTTCTTCTTTTACCTCTTTTGTCATCATAGTTATTAGGCCAAAGCCTTCCTTCTGGGTACCCTCTTGACCCCCTAACAATCCTATAAGTTCCCTCATTCACTTTCTTGCCCATTCAGGTTACCCCTGAAGTGGATCCTCGTGGGGTGCTTCGGGGCACAGCAGGCTCCGGGTCAGATGAGCTCTCACTTGGGACCTCACTTTCTTCTCCATCTTCAGCCTCAACCTTGAGAACAAAGTCTTCATCTCGTGCGGTGTCGTCCTCTTCTTCTCCACCTTGACAGACTGGCTGTTGCCGGATCTTCTTTGGTTTGGTGGGGCTGCTCACCTTGGGGCTCTCGGGACAGGACACTGGAGCAGGCAGGGCTGTTGAGAGCTCTTCAGCCAGTTCCTGAAGATACAGGAGTGCCCTGTGGGGTAGGGCAGAGTCAGAGACATACAAACACTGAACAAGAGCCCACTTCTTATTTATTTATTTATTTTTTTATTAAGAGCCCACTTTTCCAGACACTTGGTTGATTCTTATTGCACTGGATCCTCACAGTGACCCTGTGAAGCAGCTATTAATTTCCCCTTCGCTTCTGATAGATAAAGAAACAGAAATCCAGGAAAGTTAAGTGATGGCAACAGAAAATAATAGAAAGGTGTGTATATAAACCAGGTCTTCTGACTTCAAGTCTCAAGCACTTTTCACTCTACCACAGCCAAAAACCACTGATGGCAACAGAAAGTAATAGAAAGAAAATCCTAGACAGACAAGTTAGCAACAGATTAAAGTTGCCGAAGTAAAAGCCAGAAAATTGCTCAAGTCCCCAGGACCCAGACACCATGCCCGCTTACCTCATCACAGTCTTTTCATCTCTCCAACATCTGACCCCCCCCAACCCCCCACCAACATGTGCTCCAATCCTTACACTTGGGCAGCCCTTCGGCGGGGTCGTTGCCCAGGTGGGGTCTCAAAGTCCTCAGGGGGCCTCTTTGGAGCTGGAGACTCTGGCTGGTCTAGGCCTTTGGACAGCTTCAGCAGCAGCAGCTCTGCCTTGGTCTTTCGACCTCGTTTCTTGGGCATGGGGGTGGGCAGAGGGCTGGATTGATCTAAGTGACCTGGAGCCAGAGGGGCTGGTGGAGGATTAGGTTGTTGGGGCCTTTTGGGGCCTTTCCGTGTCCTACCCCCTCTCTTCCGGCCAGGCTTGGAGGCCCGAGGCTTTGAGACCTTTGACATCTCCGAAGAAAGATCTGTAGAGAAGAATACGTGTCTGTGAGATGGGACCAGAGCTCAAACCTCTTTAGAACAGACTACAACATACCCAGGTTTGTTAGACCTATGAACTCAACCTGCTGTCTTTCATCTTAAACTAAGCACAGGGAGAGAAAAAGATGAAAAGACACGGTACATACCTTGCTGTTCCAGTCTGGACAGGCTTTCCTGTTCTGGAAGGAGCTTTTTCTCATCAAGAGAGCCCTCAAATCCAGACAAAGAGGTAGGCAAGGACATCTCTGTGGAAGCCTCTGTACTGGCTGTTTCTGCAGTGGTCCTGACATCAAGCTGATTTAGCACCTCTGGTCCAGGAGAGTCCACTACAGTCACGTTCCCCACGGGGCCGGCCTCCCCCAGGGCGACATAGCCGACCCCGCAGGTATCCATCAGCACCCCCTAAAATGGTTGCCCCTGCACACAGACATACAAATGAAGAGAAGGTGAAAGCTATTTGTACTGACTCAGATTTTTCTACTTTCCTCCCCCCATTGCCCCTCCCACAACCAGAAACCTAAGCTTCCTTCAATAATAATTACTAAACATCTTCTATGTCAGGCACTGTTCTAGGAACTGGTGTTATGACAATAAGCTAGACAAACAAGGTCCCTGCCCTCATGAAACTTACATGCTAGTGAAGCTGATAATAACAAACAAATAATACAGCTACCATTTTTTTAAAACACTTGCTATGTGCAAGCACTGTAGTAAGTGCTTTATTTACATTATTTAAAGCTCATAACATTTCTTGTAATGATACTGCAGTGAATGTCTAGAGCTAAAAGCCATCTTTACAAATATTAGTCAAGGAACAGATTTATTTATTTATTTATTTATTTTAAAATATATTTTACTGATTTTTTTACAGAGAGGAAGGGAGAGAGATAGAGAGTTAGGAACATCGATGAGAGAGAAACATGGATCAGCTGCCTCCTGCACACCTCTTACTGGGGATGTGCCCGCAACCAAGGTACATGCCCTTGACCAGAATTGAACCTGGGACCTTTCAGTCCGCAGGCCAACACTCTATCCACTGAGCCAAACCGGTTAGGGCAGGAACAGATTTATTTAAAAACAAGTAAAACAGTTCTCTTGTGCCCTGTCATCAGTCTTTTACCTGGGTGGGGGAGGTGGTAGGCTTTGAGACAATTAAGGAACATCCTACTACATTAAGAGACTTTTCCCTGCCCTGGTCGGTAGCTCATTTGGTTACAGTGTCATCCCGATATACCAAGTCTGCGGGTTCGGGTTCATTACCCGCCGGTCAGGACACACAAGAATCAAGCAATTAATGCGTAAGTAAGTAGAACAACACATCGATGTCTCTCTCAAATCAATATATTAAAATATTTGAGAAAAAAAGAGGCTTTCCCCACATTGAAGAATGGATTTTAAAACGGTCATGAATCTTCATTTTCTTCAAACCTAGAAAATCAGCTGTATAACCATGGACCAAAGTCAACTGATGGAGAGAAACAAAACATTGATACCAACCAAAAACCTGAGCCACAAAGAACTCTGCCAGGGCACAGTTTTCAGCCAGAAAAACCTACTTGCCTGGGTCAAAGGGGGAGAAATAGTTCAAATATGAGGAGGGAACTCCCCATAGGTCTGTATGTGTCTTCAGAATAAAGAAATCATCAGCCTCAGTAGAGAAGTTTGCTAATGAAAACACCATAAGAAATATCGTACAAATTAAAAGTTCACAACAACCTAAGTGGATTATAAATTGTAACAGCCAACTCTCTAACTCAGGTGTTAAGGACACACTATAACCTCATGTGCTAAAGATAGAATATAACAATGCCAAAGTAAATGGAGGTCAGTGAGAATCTATCTGCATTGTTCTTTGGTAAATAGCAAGCCCTGACAGAACTACTCCATTCAAAATTAGTAACAGCCTGGCTGGTGTGGCTCAGTGGTTGAGCACTGACTCATGAACCAGGAGGACACGGTTTGATTCCCTGTCAGGGCACATGCCCAGGTTGCAGGCTCAATCCCGGGACCCTTCAGTCCACAGGCCAACACTCTATCCAGTGAACCAAACCAGCTAGGGCCATCATTGATGTTTCTATCCTCTCTTCCTCTCCCTTACTCTCTCTGAAATTAATAAAGCTGAAAGTAAAAAGAGGAATTAAAATATACAGGGAAAATGTAAGCAAAAAGGAGTTTTGATGGCAATAGCAAAGTTGAATTCAGGGGGAAAGGTATTAAATGGGACAAAAAGAAAGTACTTTATAATGAATAAAACTTCAAATCATATAAAATATATAAATATCATAAAACTTTAGACATCAAGTAACATAGTATCAAACACATAAAGCAAAATCTTCAGGAAATGCAAGAACTACTTTCTTTAATCATTGGCAGTTCAAGTAGGTAAGGACAAAATGTGAATGATTGTTGCCTTCTCTATTGGCCAAGGTCTAGTTGCATAGAACAGAACCCTTTCTAGTCAGTTCGAGCTAAAAGGGATTTATTAAAGCGTATGAAATGGTTCATAACAGTGGTTCTCAAAGTGTGGTCCCAGAACTGGCAGCCTCAGCATCACTTGAAATTTTGTTAAAATGCACATTTCCAGTCCTATCCCAGACCTAATGAATTAGGCACTCTGGGATGGGGCCAGCACTTGTTATAACAAGTCTTTCAGAAGACTCTGATGCACACTCAAGTTTGAGAATTCCCTGCATTGGGAGGGTTGGGGGGAAACCAGTTTAGGAAGAAGTGTTTGCCAAATTGGGAAGTTGTGTTATAGCTACTGATTGATGAACCACATGGCCTCTCCTATGCCATGAGGGGATCCACTTACTGAATCAAGAGCCGGTTTGGCTCAGTGGATAGAGCGTTGGACTGCGGACTGAAGGGTCCCGAGTTCAATTCCAGTCAAGGGCACATGCCTGGGTTGTGGGCTCGATCCCCAGTAAGGAACATGCAGGAGGCAGCCGATCAATGATTCTCTCTCATCACTGATGTTTCTCTCACACTCTCATTCTCCCCTCCTCTCTGAAAAATCAATAAAAATACACTTAAAAAAGAAAAGAAAGAAAAAGAAGCCCCTGCCACAGCTATGGCTCCATAAACAAGTTGCCTCTACAATCAGAATGTGACCAAGTGAATGGGGAAGACACTGCTCCGGCTCCCAAATCCAGAACCTCTCCACTGCCACCATCTGCACCAGCAAAATGCACGCACGCTGGCCTGCCTCTCCCCTCTCTAAGCTCAGGTCCAAGTTTGAGTTCCTTAAGAGCACATGTGATCGGCAAGACCTAGATCACATTCAGAATCTTGGATGGTAGATTCCCAGGGAATGAAACCTCTAGCTTTCCAGGCTCTCAAGTGGAGGTTGCTCCTTTTCTCACACCCCACTTACCCCAGGTTAGAAAGTGGGATCAGTGAATTCTCAGTTCCTCTCCAATGCCACTGCTTGACAAACAGTCCTTCCTCTTTTGCAAAAATCCTGTTCCTTTGAAGCTCGTGACATTCAGCTAAAGCACTGCTAATCGCTCCGCTGTCACACCCTGGACCCTGTCAGCACATAACACCTTTTAACCTCCAAAATCACTAAGACATCCACTATCTGATCACAACCTCCCGTCATTACAGCTCAACTGCTATCATGGTATCTATTCTTCAATCATATCTAGCCACTATTCATTGATCTCTCCAATTTCTCCCTGTGGCAGCAGCCACATCCAATCTCGCTTAGATTTCTTTAATCAGACTCTATTGACATTATGAACTTCCTTTCTTTCTGTCTTTTGTTTCACAGGTGTGGCAAAACTCAGCCTTAGATGAACCAATCATCCACCTTCTTCATTGTGTGCATCTAAGCTACTCAATCACACTTCCTCTCTTAGTCACTCCACACCCTCTCTCCCAATGTCTGACCCCCTGGTTCTCAGCAGATGACTTTGCCTCTGGTTTCTGAAACAAAACTTAAAGCCATTAGATGGGAAATACCTCGATTTCTTGCAAAGTAGCCTAATCCTCCCTGCATCCAGACTCCTCCCTCACGCACTTTCTAAGGCCACACCTTCCATAGCGCTCAAGCCCCATTTTCTGCCCTCTTAAGGGAACTAGTCATTTCTTCTTTTCCTCTCTATGTGCATCTTCCAAAAAGCATTGATCTCTTTTTGTTTTTTGTTAATCCTCACCTGAGGATATTTTTTTCCCATTGATTTTTTAGAGAGAGTAGAAGGGACAGATGGAGGGAAAGGGGAGGGGGGAGGGAGAGAGGGGAGGAGAGAGAGAGAGAGAGAGAGAGAGAGAGAGAGAGAGAAACATCAATGTGAGAGACACACCGATTGGTTGCCTCCCCTACATGCCCTGACTGGTGCCAGGGATCAAATCTGCAACATAATAATCAGGTTGAAGGGTATGCATATTTTAAAATTAATAGCCCAGCCAGTGTGGCTTAGTGGTGGTTCGATTCCCAGTCAGGGCACATGGCTCGGTTGTGGGTTCAATCCCCATATGGGGCATGCACGAGGCAGCTGATCAATGATTCTCTCATCATTGATGCTTCTTTCTCTCTCTTTCTCCCTTCTCTGAAATCAATTTTTTACAAAAATTAAAAATAATAATAAAATTTAATAGATAATGCCAAATAGTTCATCAAAACAAAAACCAATTTATAGTCCCACTAACTATACATAGCCATTTTACCAAACCCTTGCCAATCTGGTCGGTGAAAGAATTCCTCCGTATTTTATTATTTTTATTGACCTGATAATAATTGAAGTTAATTCCTTTTTTTTAAAAAATATATTTTATTGATTTTTTACAGAGAGGAAGGGAGAGGGATAGAGAGCTAGAAACATCGATGAGAGAGAAGCATCGATCAGCTGCAACCAAGGTACATGCCCTTGACCAGATGTGCCTGCCACCAAGGAACATGCCCCTTGGACCGGAATTGAACTCGGGATTCTTCAGTCCGCAGCCCGATGCTCTATCCACTAAGCCAAACCAGCCAGGGCACAAAAGTCCCTTTTAAAGATTCACTGCTGCCGAAACCGGTTTGGCTCAGTGGATAGAGCGTCGGCTGCGGACTGAATGGTCCCGGGTTCGATTCCGGTCAAGGGCGTGTACCTGGGTTGTGGGCACATCCCCAGTAGGAGGTGTGCAGGGGGCGGCTGATCGGTGTTTCTCTCTCATCGATGTTTCTAACTCTCTATCTCTCTCCCTTCCTCTCTGTAAGAAATCAATAAAAAAAATTAAAAAAAAAAAAAAAAAGATTCACTGCTTTAAAAGGCAGCAGCAGGATACGGTGGTTAATTTCCATTTATGATTTCACAAAACAAATTTTGGACACAAGTGAAGGGTGTTTAGTAAATGTGGACTAAATTAATTTACAGTTTATAAAATTTTACATTTGCACCCCAACTTGTCTGGTTTCCAAGATACTCCAGGCTGCCTGCCTGACCTCCTCAGCGAAGGAAACTAGATAACACTGTTCCTCACATATGGAATTACGTGAAACTCACTGTTTGGTCTAACATACTATTTCCCAAAGTTTTGGTACAAGTGGTGGTATGCAAAATTATTTTAATGGTATAAAAATGAACAATTTACTCGACTGTGTTTTTATTTTAACTTGCATAAAAAACTAGAACAAGCCCATGAAACTTCATGGGTTCATCTATATTGCTTAGAGACTAAAGCACTTAAACTTTAAAAATGAATCAATTTAAAGAAAACTCTTGAGAACATAATAGTACAGTTGGTAAGAATGGATGGCAAAAGTGCTAATGGCACAGGAACGACTTAAGTTTGCGTCACAATGTGCCGCTGGGCGAAGAGGCTTGGCCATCCCCTGCACCGCTCTCACCCAGGGCTGGGTGGGGTTGCCGTCGTCATCTCTGCCTCCCCAGCCAACTCGCCCCGGGAGAAACGGGCCCGACCAGGAAACCTCACTGGCCCTCGACTGCGCCAATGAGGTTGCAGCGCGCGGGGCACAACCCCCAGGGTTAGAGGAGCCTCGCGGAGGAAGAGGCTGGGACCCAGCGGGATGAGGAGGCTGAGCCGGGCGCCCGCCTGCCCTCCCGCAGCCCGGGGCGAGGGAGCAGCTCTCAGCATAGCCCGTGCTCGAGGCCAGCCCTGTGCTTTCTAAGGTCGAGGACTACGGTCGGTTCGCAGCGTCGAGGGGGTCATGTCAGCAGCGCCCAGGCCAGGACACAGGATGCTGTGTTCCGGACACCGCGTGAGCGAAGAAGGCAAGACCGCGGTTTGCAGAGATGGGGGATGCACTCTTGCCACGGTGGGTAAGGAAGTGGGGGGCATGATGGTTTCTAGAGCGGCCCCGGGGCTGGAGGTCGCGATGCTGTCTGTGCAGAGTGGGGATAGCGGAGCCAATATTTTAGCGCCACCGAAAAAGGAGGAGGAGTAATCGTGGGGCCCCCCGCACACCCCACGGCTGTACACTCACCCTCACCAAAGTCCTTCCGGAAGTCCAAGTTCGAAGATGGCGCCGCCCGTCTGGTCGCGGCTTTATGACGTCACCCTGTAGCTCCTCTTCATTGATGGCCCATCCGGACCGCCCAGGGCAGTGCACCAGGTAAACACGTGAGTTCGGTTGGGAGTTTGTGCCAGAGAGTTTTCTGTTGCACTATGTATTCCACAATGCAATGCGGCGAGCGCTCCCGAGCCCTGCCCGAGCGGGAGCAGCTCCTGGCTCAGCAGCGCCGAGGCTGCTGCACGGCCTTCTGGGAGTTGCAGTGTCTGAAGGTGAGATTGGCGCCTGCGCGGTGACGCTCGCCGCGCCCACTCGGTTCCCACGCGGCCTCTCGGGGTACGCGGGGTGTGCCGCTGTGGAGTGTGCTGCTGTGCAGTGTGCTGGGTTTCCTTCAAGACGGCTGGGCCCCTGGCGGCAGGGCCAGGACGGGTGTGAGCATTTACCGCGACGTTGGAGCCGAAGACAGAGACCGGGAGACAAAGGAATCCGTGAAGCGGGCGCCGGGAGGCCGCGGGGCCCCGCCCCCTCCCGCAGATGCGGCCGCTGGTGAAGTCCAGGGTGAAAGGAGAGGGAAGGAGCGGGAGAAAAGCCTGACGTGGGGACCCTGCGCGCGAGTGAGACTCCGGCTTGGACACTGGCCTTGGTTCCGGCTTTGCCCCACTCCCTCACTAGGTGCTGGGATGCGGGTGAAGAAAGAATGTAATGAGTTCTGCCCTTTCCTGAAGCACTTGAAGCCATACAGTTTCACGGGTCTCCACGAACAATAGGAGAGCTTAGGATGTATGAATACATGGGAGGGGTATGGTAAAATCTTTTTTCTTCCCCAATCTGTGGACGAAAAGGAGCCAATGCTAACCTGACTAACTCAGGGAAGGCCTGCTTGGCAAACTCAAGAGACTTAAAGTAACCACAAAGGATGGTCTGAAATTAAAACCTTTAATTACAAAGTAGTTGATAGTGTGTAGTCGTGTCCTAGGCCAGTATCTTCCTTGACAGAGATCAACTTTGATCTTTACTGAGCCAGCCTATTTTTGCATCTAAGATAACATAACTGGAATATCAGGGTAACTTGTAACTTCCCTTTTTCCGGAACCCTCAGGGCGAAGCCAATGCACCAGGGTGACAGGGCAGAGACCACAAATCCCCTCGTTATTATCATGTTAATTGTTGACTTAACTACCCTGCACCCACCTGTGTAAAGGAAACATGTGTCATTTTACTTTTTATCCAATCTCAGAGGTTTCCCCTCTTGCTTTCTCCTGCCTCCCTAATCTGTCACCAGTGGATTTCATGTAACCCACTTACAGCTCCTCTTTTGATTGTAGTGTATAAAACACAATGAAAGACGGCCGTTCTCTGGAGCACTATCAATATGTTGAGATTCTGCTTCCTGGCAACTGTCGAGAGTTTGGCTCAAATAAACTCACAAGAATTCTTTACAGGTTTGAATGTTTTATACATTAACAAATCTCACCTATTGAACCCCTTGCTTACATAAAACATTTAAGGAAAGCATGGGAGGAACTAGCTAAGATTTTTTAAAAAATACATTTTTATTGCCGAAACTGGTTTGGCTCAGTGGATAGAGCGTCGGCCTGTGGACTGAAAGGTCCCAGGTTCGATTCCGGTCAGGGGCACGTACCTTGGTTGCGGGCACATCCCCAGTAGGAGATGTGCAGGAGGCGGCTGATCGATGTTTCTCTCTCATCGATGTTTCTAACTCTCTCTCTCTCTCCCTTCCTCTCTGTAAAAAATCAATAAAAAATATTTTAAAAAAAATACATTTTTATTGATTTCAGAGAGGGAGAGAGAGCTAGAAGCATCAATGATGAGAGTATCATTGATCCACCTGCCTCCTGCATGCCCCTACTTGGGGATTAAGACTGCAACCCGGGCATGTGCCCTGACTGGGAATCAAACCATGACCTCCTGGTTCATACATAGGTCAACTAGCTAAGATTTTTATAAACTGGAATAAAGAGTCTCCCACCCACCCCACCCCCTCTATGGCTTAGGACCAATTCCTTTATGAGAGCAAAAAGTTGGTGCACTTGAGGTTTGGCTCCTCAGTACATCAGATCTTAAATGCTTCTGAAATGAACAGATCTGTCTTTTCATTCCTGTTGCCTCAGATTAGGCTATCTTTGACTTGAACAATTGCAACATCCTTTTATATTAATAATTGTACTTATTTTAGTAATGACAGTCACATGGTTCAAAATTTAATATATGGAGTGAAGACTCCCACCTCTGCCTCCAGCCTCCCACATCCACACAGGCAGCTTCTCCTTAATATAATCAGCGTGTGTTTTTTTCTCATTAGCTATTATTCTGAATTACAGTTCATACTGGAAAGGCAGTAAAAATGCTTCAACCTCTTATTTGCCAGTTTTCAGGAATTGATAACTAGATGTTTCCAGTGGTATATGACTTACTGATTTTTTTACTTTTTATCTCTTTTTAAAAGATCATTATGAACTCATTGTTTTTATATTGAGCATACCACTCAATCATCAAAATTAAGAGGGAGTTCTTGCCCTGCCGGTGTGGCTCAGTGGTTAACTGTCGACATATAAAGGAGGCATATGCCCAGGTTGCAGTCTCAATCCCCAGTGTGGAACATGCAGGGGGCAGCCAATCAGTGATTCTCATCATTGATGTTTCTCTCTATCCCTCTCCCTTCTTCTCTGGAATAGAAAGTATTTTTTTTTTTAAAAAAAAGTTCATCCCTAACCGGTTTGGCTCAGCGGATAGAGCGTCCCCCTGCGGACTCAAGGGTCCCAGGTTCGATTCTGGTCAAGGGCATGTACCTTGGTTGCGGGCACAACCCCAGTAGGGGGCATGCAAGAGGCAGCTGATCAATGTTTCTCTCTCATCAATGTTTCTAACTCTCTATCCCTTTCCCCTCCCCTCTGTAAAAAATCAATAAAATATATTTAAAAAAAAAAAAAAAAGAGTTCTGCCCTAACCGGTTTGGCTCAGTGGATAGAGCGTCGGCCTGCGGACTGAGGGGTTCCAGGTTCGATTCCGGTCAAGGGCATGTACCTTGGTTGCAGGCACATCCCCAGTTGGGGGTGTGCGGGAGGCAGCTGTTTGATGTTTCTATCTCATCGATGTTTCTGACTCTCTATCCCTCTCCCTTCTTGTCTGTGGAAAATCAATAAAATATATCTTTTTAAAAAGAGTTCTTTATAGAATACTAGTGGCCCAGTGCATGAAATTTGTGCACGGGGAGGGAGGGGGGCTGTCCTTCAGCCCAGCCTGTACCCTCTCCAATCTGGGATCCCTCAGGGGATGTCCGACTAAACTGGCAGTCGGGCATCCCTCTCACAATCTGGGACGCTGGCTCCTAACCACTCACCTGCCCGCCAGCCTAATCAATCCCAACTGCCCTCCCCTCCTGGCCTGATCGCCCCTAATGGCCTCTACCTCAGCCCCGCCACCATGGCTTTGTCCGAAAGGACGTCCGGAAGGTCTCCCAGTCTAATTAGTATATTACCCTTTTATTAGTATAGATTATCAGCTAGTTATGTGGAAAGAATGATAGAATTAGGGGAGAAGGTGGAATCCTCATTTTGCATTCCCTGATAACATAATTCGAGCAACAATCATCAATGGATAGGAAACTTCAAAATGCCTCGACTCATTCATCACTGAAAATGGAACAAGCAACCATTTTTATTTGCCTCCTGATGTGAGGCAGTATGAAAACAGTCAATCTGGTTTCTGGAAAAAGTCAATGTAAAGAGAAAATAAGAGGGGTGGGGAAGACTACTTCCAGTTATAAGAAAGTTAAAACAATAACCAAATATAATGTATGGATTTGTTTGGACCCTGATTCAAAGGAATCAACTGTACAAAGCCATTTTGAGATAACCATGATGAATGTTCCTTAATAAAAGTTAAAGGCACAGTCTCTGGATTCAGAACGCCTGAGATCACATGCTGGTTTAGTTCTGTGTTATCTTGGGCAAATAACTTAACCTCTCTGTGCCTTAGCTGTGTTGCTTTAGCAAATAACCTCTCTGTGCCTGTTTTCTCATTTCTAAAATCTCTTCAGAGTTAGATAAAGCTGCATAAATGGATAAGAAAGGAATTAAACCATTTCTGGCACAAAGTACTCAATACTAAGGATATTAAATACTTATTAATATGTAATTACTTAATATACATAAACTATTAATATAAATATATTAATTCATAATTCTAAAGTTAGGACTCTTATTTGACCCTTTATTCCTCCTTATATCTATCTAGCTCAGTGTCTGGCACTTAGATGCTTGATAAAAGATTGAAGACTTGGAATAGTGTTTGGTCTCCATATTGACCTTCACCTTGGCCCCAAAACACTAGCATGGAGCTAGTCACCTGAAAGGGTCTCTGTAAAAGTCTGAGATTGGTAGCAGGTGCCAAGAGGAGTTGGGGAGTCTGGACTCCTAACGTGTGGTGGCGATGCTAAAAAGAGACAAAGGCAGCAGAGTTGCTGAGTGAAGGGATATGTCCTTTATTGACCTTGTGTCCTCCACTCACTGGTCACTACTCTTGACTCGTAGGACAACAGGTACAGAACTGCAGGGGATCATCCCCAGCTCTGTGATCACCAGATCCACGAGCTCTGGGGGAGTCACATCATAGACCAGATTCAATAACCGTAGGGACAGGTGGCTCTGCCAGTTAGCTAGTGCCACACGTTCTCCTCGCTCACACAGCAGATCGTCAGGGTCATCTGCAATGGGAGGTGTACCCATTTATGTCCTTTTAGAAAGTAAGTTGTCGTTCAACCTCCCCTCTCCCAAAGTTCAGTCCCTGGAACCTTTTTTGCTACCCTCCTGAGCCTCCTTACCTAGCTCATTAGAGACAAAGGCATCAGTCTGCACACGCTCACAAAACTTGTATGTTTCACAGCAGACCAGTACTGGCACATTATGGGCTCGTGCCACCAGGGCCAGCTGTGCTGTCCCGACCCGTGACATCACGGATCCATTGGCCAGGAGTGCATGAGCTCCCAATAGCACCTTAGAAACCTATTTGGGGGGAGGGGGGAGAATGTCATCTGTGATCAATGCAGAATTGCAAAATAAGGTGCCCCACTCCTGCCCAGGACAGCAATATTAAGACAATGACTAACCTTAATAATGGCTCTTGGAAAACACCTGACCAATGACACATTGCACCTCCCACAGGAAATGAAACTCTGAAGTTGCTTTTTGTCCTATTCCCTCTTGGTGGTTGCTAGTTTAATATAATGTCCTTCAGTAACTAGACTATTACAACATGCTGTCGTGTTTTTCTTATTAAATATAAGCAGGGCTATACAATGCTAATATTTCTAAGTAATTGTAACCCTTGGAAGGTGGGACCCCGAAGTTGGACTAAAGGGTTTACTTTTCTCTGCCCTCACCTCTGGGAGCACATAGGAGGCTGCAGAAATCAGCAGGTAGGAGGCAGGGACCCCAGCACGGACCAGAGAGCGTAGCATGTGCTTTCCCTCCAGCCGTGGCCGGCTG